GCCGGTCATGGCCACGGCGCCTCTCTTGACGGGGTACATCCGCCCCCACACCCACGACTGCGCCTGGTAGAGCGAGAGCGAGCTGCCTTGCTGCACCTAGTTAGTACCGGACCACAGCTCTCGCCTTCCTATGCAGCCGCCCGGCAAAAGCTTGTGCTGTGGATCGCAGGCGTGGTCTGCCCTCTCCAGCTGCACCGCGTCGTTGCGCAGGCTCGAGCTGTGAATAGCTGTGAATAGCAGGCTTGTGCTGTGAATCGCTGTGAATAGCACCGTGTCGTTGCGCAGGCTCGCCGACAGCCACTGCACCACTCCTCGGGCCAGAGAGTGGCCCTGGTCGCCATGGTAGCTCCCCTCCTGCCCGCAGCAGGGCGTGGCGAGGCCGAACCAGCTGCACGCGCGGCGGGTGGCGGCGCCGCAAGAGCAGCAGAGCGGGCAGAGCAGGCAGGGCAGCAGCGAGTTGTAGTCTGGCACAAGCAGCGAAGAGACGCCGTCGTTTTTGCCGTCGCCGTCCCGCTCCAGCACCATACTCGCCGGCGCGGCGGGGTCGGCCGCCTCGGGCACCACCCGCACGCAGTACTCGCCCTCCGACGTCGAGATCTGGCACATGGTGTCTGGCTCGAGCACCTGCAGCAGCACCTCGGCCACGCTGCTGCTGCCGAAGAGCGAGTGCGGGCGCAGCCGCCCGTGGTCCGTCCGGACGTCGTACCTCCGCGCCCTCCGAAGGCGGAGCTGCAGCCCGACGAGGATGCCGGTGATGCCGACGCTGCCAAAGACAGACGCGAACAGGTCAGGCCTCACCTCGCGAGACGCCGTGACGACGGCCGCCACGCCGCCGGCAAAGACTGCGACTTCGACCGCCTCGACCCAGTCGAAGGCGGTCGGCGTGTGCGAGTGATGGACGTTGGTGGCGAGGAATCCGCCAAAGGTCTGGCTCTCCGAGGGCGTGAAGCAGAAGCCCTTCGCAGGCCACTCCACCTCGAGCCCCTCCTCCTCCGCCTTGAAGACAAAGTCGCAGATCGACGCGCCGGCGGCGACCGACGCGCGGAGGCCGGCCACGTCAAAGGCGATGCGCGTGGACATCGGCCCGGTGAAGACCATGTTGGAGGACCGCCCGTCCGCCTCGATGATGGGATTCCAGCTCCAGCCGGAGCCGATCACGCGCAGGCCCTTCCCGGCTGCGGCGGCGCGGTCCATGAGCACCGTCAGCGCCTCCAGCGAGTCGACACATTCAAAGTCTGCGCAGCGGATATTGCCCTTCTGCTCGGCGGGCAGGATGGTCGGCGGGTGCCGCTTCCGCGGAGCGTACACCTCATGCGGTCTGACCGACCAAAGGCCCATGGCTTGGGCCCAGAATGCAGGGCAGACTGCCGAAAGGGTTCGAGCTCCCTCAGAGGTGGGGTAGGGCGTGGTACGGGACTGACTGCCTGAGAGAGAGAGAGAGAGAGAGAGAGAGAGACTTAGCCACCTCTGAGAACACCTTTCCTCCTATCGCAAGTGAGCTGAGTGTGTCCTGACCCCCTCCATCCACGCGACCGTAGTCTGTGACTCCCATCATAGTTGCGATCGATCGTCGCACAAGCAGATCTGGCTCCCTCGGGACCCCTTCCGCCGCCCACTTCGCCACTGCATCCACCATCGCCACAGCCGAGATTCCTCCAACACCCTTAGCATGTCCTGGCACCTGACAGATGATAACCAAACCTCTAGAGGGGGCGTTCTGCAGTTAAGGGGAAACCCGGTACACGGAGCCCTCTCGGAGAACTGTGTTTACTTTACGGCCCTTTCCCTGCGAACGCGCACCCCCGGGGCTAGGGCTCTCTAGCCCATAACCCGACACCGATCATCCGGCCCGCTGGGTGCGCTTCTTAGCTCCCTGGCCCTGGATGTGAGGTTGATAACTGCACTCCAAGTGCTCCAAGTGTAGGCGCGACCGTATCTTAGCTAAGGCTCACGCCCTGACGTGTAAGTGCTCATGTGCACCGAGCCCATATACGCACCTGCATGTGTGGACGCGAGTATTAACTAAGATGAGCGCCCACGCATGAGGATGCGCGTCTGCGTCCAGGTAGCCCAGATACCGTCTTCGTGTCTGGGCGCTTATCTTGAGTAAGGCTCGCGCCTACACGTGTAGCTGCGTATCTTGAGATGAGCGCCAATACTTCACGGCGGCCCCCTCGGGGCGCTTGCGGACGACAAAGAAGGTGCGGCCTCCTCCGTCAAGTCCTCCTCTCGCGCAGGCCGGGGTTGAGACACTTGGCCACGGCTGGCTCGACGACCGTCGCCACGTCTTTCCACTCGATGTTGCTGACCGCCATGTGGTCTGAACGCTTCGCTACCCGGCCGCCGCGGGCACCTCGGCGCCGGCATCATCCTCCGCGGCATCAAGGAGATCCGCCATAAAGCAGCGCCACTGTGTGCTCTATCCGGCGGTATATTTTTGGGCTATCTCTCCTCAAAACGATGTCAAGCGCCCGCTCGCAGCCAGCACGCGCCGCGCCCCTGGGCGCTCCCCGCTGCGGCGCGCCGCCCGCGCGCGGGTTGCCCGGGCGAGCGACCGCCACCGCTCGCCCCTCAGCACCCTCTGCCCGCGCACGGCCGACGCGCAAGCCCGCGGTCGCGCGCGAGCCGTCGCTTTGTGCACGCCGCCGTCTACCCGCGCTCGCTCGCGATCGAGTCGGACGACCCTATCTTCCGAGTAGCGGAGGTGTGCTTGCACCCCCTTCCCAAGGCACATGCACTTTGGAGGGAGAAAGTAATCGCGGCGGGGCCCGCAATCTCCCCAGCATTTTGCGACTCACCCCCAGCAGGCGCGTTCTCGGCGTGCTGCTGCTGCACAGGTTTTGCGGCCGCCCCGAGAGGGGGAGCGGCCGCTCCTCCGCACCATCGGCCCACGGCATCCTGGGCGGCGTCGGCGCCGCCCCAACGGCCGGCTCGGGCGCTTCCCGCCCCGCCTCGGCTACACTTTGTCGCGGCGATCTAGCGGTGCGCCGCCGCACCGCGCGCCTCCCCCGAGCCTCTGCACGGCGCGATGAGCCGCCTCGGCTGCCGCCGTGGTTGCGCCGGCGCCCCTCCCGCACGGCGCGACGCGACCGCAGCCGCGTGCGTGGTCTCACTCACCTCTCCCGCCCGCGCGTCCGCCTCTCAGACCCGCGCCTCCCCTTTCCTAGGCGCCATCACCGGCACGGCCGCCGCCGCCCGTGCGGCACCCGCGGCACCGCCCGCCCCCCCTGGCGATGCTGGCCGCTACCCCGCCGCCGTAGCTACCCTCCCCACCGCTGGTGCACCGCCTCCGCCGCCCCCCTCGGCGCTTCGCCCGTGATTTTGCCGCCTCCTCCTCCACCACCACCCGTCTAAGCTTCCGCCCGCCTTCTCGCCACCGCCGTCCGCGCCACCTCAGCCGCCCTCCCCGGCGCTGCACCGGCGCTGCAGTGCCGTCGGCGCCGCCGCCCGTGCCGCCTCGGCCTCTGCGCCTCCAACCTCGCCGCGTCCGCAGCGGTTCCGCCCTCGGCGCCTCCCACCTCTCACCCGCCAGGTCGAACTTCCGCCGACGATGGTGCCACCGCTGCCGCCCCCCCCGCTCGAGCCTCGGCCGCCGCACCCCGCCGTCCGCGCCCCGCCGCCACCCCCTCCGTCACGGCACACGCCGGCACCACCGCTACTACCGCTGGCTCCGCCCTAGACGCCGCCGACCGCTCGCAAGAGCGGCGAGCCCGCGGCCGACATCCTTCTGTCAGGTGACGGTCGACGGCTACTTTCGAGGCTTTGTGGCTTTTTAAGAGGGGTCCAGCAGCTCGGGGGGTGCGCGCTGGATGGCCGGCGCGGTGTAGCAGCGGCGCGGAGCCGGGGGTGCGATGTGCGGCCGTCGGTGGCGCGACACGCGGCCTCCGGTAGCGATTCGCCGCGGCTCCGGCGGTGCGATTTTTGTGCGTTTTCGAAGGCTGTGGGCGGGATAAGGCCGGCTAGACCGGCCCTGGTGTGCCCTAGTGTGTTCCCTTACACCCCTGGCCCGGGAGCAGTAGCGCGGTGCGCGTCCCGAGGGCGTAGGGGCTCAAAAAACAATTGATCAAGTTTTCAGCCACTTTAGAGCACACAGTGCCAGCAAGGGAGGGACAGATGACACAGGCGACTTGAGCGCGTATCACCCAAAACTATTCACTTTTGAGCGCCATATGCGCAGGTGCGTATGTCAACATACGCGCCTCCACGTGTGAGCGCTCATATTGACTAATATTCGCGTCTGCATGTGTGGAAGCGTATGCTGACCGCCACGCACCCCCACGCCGACACCGCGAGTACTAGCTAAGATAGGCGCCACAAAGCGTGGGCGCTCATCTCAAGAGGATACGCAGCTACACGTGTAGGCGCGAGCCTTACTCAAGATAAGCGCCCAGACACGAAGACGGTATCTGGGCTACCTGGACGCAGACGCGCATCCTCATGCGTGGGCGCTCATCTTAGTTAATACTCGCGTCCACACATGCAGGTGCGTATATGGGCTCGGTGCACATGAGCACTTACACGTCAGGGCGCGAGCCTTAGCTAAGATACGCGCCTACACGTGTCGGTGGTCCTTTTTGACCCACTTTCCGGGGTTTGCCGGGCCTCCCCTCCCCAGCAAACATGCGTTCACAGCCTAAATAAATAAATAAAACGGACACCTCTACTAGGAGATGGGTAAAAAGGAACAGGTCCCCGCCCTGCGGTCTTTGTGCAGGGTTGTTTGTGGGTGTGGTCGGCGACTAGCCGGGGTCGTTCACAGCCTTGTTATGAGAAGAAAATACGTGACGTGGCGCTATGCGCTGGTCTGTGAGAGGTTGAGGTGCGAGCCCTGGAGGCCCTGGGGATGGGGTGAGACTACCCGCGGGCCTAGAAGGCCCGCGCGCAGGGGGGTGGGACATTGAGACCGGTCATGAATGAGTGAGTGTGCGCGGGGGACAGAGAGAGACGGGACAGCGTTGCATAACGCTCATCTACAACACGGGGTCTACGTGCACTACTAACTAACGTTCAACATTCACAAGCGCCCGCGGGACATTGCCGAGTAGCTGCGGTATGACGTGGTGCAGCCAGATGTCTTGTCCGAAGGCATATTCCTCCCGCTCCTCCCAAAGGCACCGCTCGGCAAGGATTTTGCCCAGCCACATTAGCCACGGCAGGCGGCGACGCTGCTCCTCGCTGGCCCTCACATGCTCAATGGGCGACCACAGCCTCCCTCGCAAAGGTTCTGCTGCCGCCCACGCCGCTGCAAGGAATGCGTGTGGATTAGACGCGCAGTGCTGCGCAAATGATGCTTGCTCGCCATGGCTTTCTTCAGCCCAGCAGGCCGCAGCTTCGTGGCTTATCTCCTCTGGCGCTGCCAGCCACGCATGCAGTTGGACGAGGAGACTGTGCACCGATATGGCTGCTGTCCAATTGCAACGCTCCATCCAGACCTTCCCGGTCTGCTGACACACGAGTGGATGCAATACGGGCGTCGTCAAGCGCACCGAGAAGGGCAAATAGGGATACCCATCGAGTTCCAGCTCAAATCCAATGACCGCGCCAGAATAGGCGCTGCCCTGCGGCCCTTCCATCTGGCCGACCAGTATAACCTTGTCATCGCGTTCATCGAGGCGGATTTCGGACTTGACGTGGGGCCCTGCGACTGCAGAGGCCGTCTCGGCCTCTTTGCGGAGGCGACGCATGGCGCCGTGCTCGAGCATGACCAGGCCGTTGATCACTACGTACGTACTCTCTCGAGGTTCTCGAGGTGGATATCCTTTGGCCGCGTTGGGGACGTACCCTAGTGAAAGAAAGGAGAAGTGCCGCGTGCAAGGAATTTTAAAATAGCAAAACTTCGTCAGCAGTTCACCTTCGGGTATGTTCGTAAGAGCCCATATACCCGGTGCTGGAAAATGCAGGCCTCTCTCAGCGCACTGGCACAGCAGCTCCCTCGGCTTCGTGTGTGTCTTTGTTGGCCTGAGAGCAGAGATGACAGATGTTGTGTCTCGCGCGTCGCGCCTTGCGATGTGTGCACTTTCAGCTCCTGGGGGGTGGCGATGGTGAGCGAGCTAGCGCAGCAGCGACTCTGCGCCGAGGAGAGAGAGACACTTCCTGGAACACCGCTGTTTCCACTTTTGTTGGACACCCCCCCCCCCCCCCCGCCGCCGCCGCCGCCCAGCCAGGGGCGCACACCTGATCGTTCGTTCGCGGGCCTTTTTTTCGAGGGCAAAACAACTAGCTACTAGGCCGCCCCGGCCGCGCCCCTCCCTCGAACGGCCGCCCCGGCCGCGCCCCTCCCTCCGAACGCGCTCCGCGATTTGGAATGGGATTCGATCCCGTTTTACGACTTACGCCCCCGAACATTCCCGACCGCCGAGGAAACTTGGAGACACCTTAAGGTACACCGCGTGGCCCCGAAGGGCCATGGAGCAGCCCGTGTTCATCATGGACGAGGAACAGCGTCACACCAAATCTTACCGCCGCAAACCCTCGGCCGGCGAACACCGCGCGCCCACCTCGGCCGCTGGCCCCTCCATGTTGCTGGCCCAAAAGCACTGGCTTCTGCTGCGTCGGCAGCAGCAGCTTGCGCGGAGCCGCTTGGACCAGCTAGCGACCATCTTTGAGCATCGCGAGAACACACCGCCAGCCCAGCTCTTCTGCCGGCAGGTCCCGGGCCACGGCCATTGCGAGTCTCTAGCGCTGAGCCGGCGCTAGAGATTGGCACGAGCGCCCATTCAGCCGCGAGTGGGATTACGCGCCAACCGCCAACACAGCTGTGATTCACTTGCTCTCGTGCCGCGTGCAGTTGCGCTTTGTAACCTCCCCTCGATCTCCGGTCTCATGGCCTTCTCGTTTGCCAATCCAAATGGTCAGCTGTAGCGATTTAGACGGTACGTGGTGTTCGTCGGGCTTCGCCCAGAGGCAGAGGCCAGAGGCAGAGCTAGCAGGGCCTGCTCTCGTGAGTTCTGAGTACAGTGAGTCAGAGTCGTGACTCGTGTGTGCGTTGATAGGTACTAAGGTAGGTCGAAAGGGTGATGTTGTCTGTTTACTTTGAACGAATGCGCTGATAGTTTTCTACGCCGCAGCGGCGGCAGTAGCCGAGTTAGGCCACAAGAGGACACTCACACTGCGGGGAGAACGCAGCCGGAATGTGTGTGCAAGAACCCTAACGATCCCCCCCCCCCCCCCCCTCCCACCCTCCGCCGCCTCCTCCCCCTCCCTACGCGAGGCGCGGCTCGAAGAAGCGGAGGGTCTTCCCGGTCGCGACGCCGAGCTGCCGGCGCGACTCGCACCAGGAGAGCGTGGATGCGGTACACCCGATTCTACCCCGGCTGAGCGTGGCGCCGCTCTCGGCGCTGTAGAGGGAGAGGGCCTCGCTGCCCTCGCCCGAGGCGACGACGTACCGCCCGCCCGCACAGAACTGCGGCTGGAAGATCCCCTTCTGCCTCGCCACCCGGGGTGCCACGTGTCCCTGCAAGGTGTGCAGCGGCCGCGACGGCGCGCGAGCGTCCCACAGCTTGATCTGCAGGTCGTAGCCAGCCGAGAGGAGGAGCCCTGCCGACGGGTCGCCCGCTCGCGGCTGCCACCGCACGCAGATGGCGTCGCGGTCGTGCGCGCCCTCGATATCTAGCGCGCCTCCGCCGCCTCCGCCGCCGCCGCCGCCGCCGCCGCCCGCCCGCACGTCCACCACCCGCAGATTGCCTCCGCGGCCTGCGGAGGCGAAGACGTTGCCGTCGCGCCAGCAGACTGACTTGATGACGCCGCTGTGCAGCTCGTCCCACGAGGCCCCCGGGCGGAGGCAGTCGTCCGCCAGCATGCTGAGCGCGACGGTGCCGTCTTTGGAGGCTGTCAGCACCCTCCCGCCCGCCTCGTGCATCGCAAAGATGCCACCGCTCTGCGGCTCCAGCTGCGAGATCAGCCGAGGCCGCCCGCCGCGCGCCTTGGAGAGGTCCCACAGCACCAGCTGCCCGTCGTTTGCGGCGCTGAGCAGCCGCTGGTCGCCTGCGAATTGGACGTTCCCGACCCAGCCCTTGTGGCCTTTGAAGGATAGCAGCTCTGCGCACTCGCCGCCAGCCTGCCCTGGCATCCCGAGCACGGTCACCATGCCGCCGCCTCCCGCCGCAGCGAGCAGCTGGCCGCGCTGCGCGTAGTCCGCGCTGTAGACCCTCTCGGGCAGGGCGACTTGCTGCACCGCCGACTCGCTCCAGCCGAGCAGCGGCGTGTCGGAAGGCGGCGGCGGCGAGGAGGAGGAGGAGGAGGAGGCGGCGGCGGCGGCGGCGGCGGCGGCGGCGGCGGCGGCGGCGGCGGCGGCGGCGGCGGCGGTGGAGGAGGAGGAGGAGGAGGGCGAGGCGTAGGAGGAGGAGGCCCCCTGGTGACCCTCGACAACATACTGCAGCACCGCCGAGTCGTCATACGCAACCTCCTCCTCCGCCTCCTGCTCCGCCTCCTGCTCCGCCTCCTCCTGCCCCTTCCCTCCGCCCCCGCCTCCGACGCCCTCGCCCCCGGCCGCCACCCTCGCCGCCCCCGCCGCCCCCGCCGCGCCGCCACGCGCGCCGCTGCTCCGCAGCGAGCGCGTGCTGCGCGGCGGTGGCGGCGGTGGCAGCGCGCGGCGGCGGCGGGGAGGCTTCGGCTTTGGCCGCTGCACGAGAGGCTCGGCCAGGCCGAGCGAGGCGAGGATGCGCTGGTTCTCCTCGATATTCCGCAGCCGCTCCTTCTCGTACTCGCTCAGCCCCGACACCTCCGCCTCCAGCACCGCCGTCTCCGACGCAGCTGCCGCCGCCTCGGGCTGACTCCGCGCCACCTCGCCCCCCTCCGCCTCGCCCTCCTCCGCCTCGCCCTCCGCCGCCTCGCCCTCCGCCGCCTCGCCCTCCGCCACCGGCGCCGCCGCCGCGGGCGTTGCCTCGCGCGCAGCTGCAGGAGGACTCGCCACCTCCGCCTCCGCCACTCCCTCCCCCTCCGCCGCCCCGACCGCCGCCACCAGTGCCTCCGCTGCCAGCTCCGGCTCCGGCTCCGCCTCTGTTTCCACCTCCGCCTCCGCCGCCGCGGACGCGGCGTCGAAGATAGCAGGCTGGCTGACGCAAGCCTCCCCGCCTCGCTCGTCGCCGGCGCCCACCCCAGTAGCTGCTGGAACACCCGCCGGCGACCCGCATCCGGCCGCCGCAGCGCCGTCACCCCACACCTTGAGAGAGAAGCTGCGCCCGCTCACCTCGCGGACCTCGGCCGCCTCTCCCGCCGCGAGCGCGCCGGACGCCGCCTGTGGCTCAGCCGCGGGCGCCGCTGTCGCGACGGGCGGTGGCGGTGGCGGTAGTAGCGGCGGCAGCTTTGCAGCAGAGCACTGCGCGGGAGCGCTCGCGCGAGAGGAGGCGCCGTTTGTTTGCGCCGGGTCTGGGCGAGGCCGCTTAGCCGGCGGCGTCGCGCTCGATGGCCGGCGGTCGAAGGAGAGCGTGGTCTGCTTGAGACTCGGCATCGCGCGGCCTTCGTACACAAAAGGCGGCAAAGTTGCCAAAAGAATTCTGGGATCCGGCTCGCACGACAAGGGGGCGGACTGGCGCGGACTGGCACACACACCGGCTCACCACCGGAGCCGCCTAAGCGACTCCGTTAAGAACGGCAATGCACTCCGCACCGTGCACAATGCCGCTCTCCCCGCACGCTAGCTCGTTCACCGTCTGCCACGGCCCAGGGTTGAGGCCACACAGCCCGGGACATGACGAGGGTGGTGGAGGTCCGAAATCACGCCGCTATGCCTCGGCTCCAGCGAGGCCTCTCAGGCCCTAGCTCAGGTATATGCAGTAGCCGGAAGCAGGGAACACCCACCCCCCAGCACCAGTCTTCTAGGTGGAGGCGGGCCCGCTGGTATCGTCGGGAAGGTCGAGGAGGGTGGGTGGATGAGCGAGAACCTGACAAGGCCTGTAGACACTGGTGTATGGCCGCCGAGCCAGCAGCGGACGCGGACTTCGCCGCTTTCCTTATCGTGCGCAAGAACCGCGACTCCTGCATACACTGGCTGCTCACCTACTGCCAGGCGATCGAGCGAGAGTGGAGCGACGCTGAGCTCCGGCGACGCCGCCTCGCATCGCTCCGGCGTTGTCTCGCGTCGCTGGCGGAGCACGCGCACGCAGACTGCCGAGAGCTGGCGCCACTCGCGCCGCGAATGCTGCACTCGACCGACTTTGACGAGCGGTGCGCCCGCCGCCCGCCTCCCAGCGGCCGAGCCGCCAGAGCGCTGCCGGCTGAACGGTGCGCCTGCGGGCAGGCACTTTCTCAACCTCGTGCTGCCAATCGAGCGCCGTCACTCGCGTGGCCTCCGCGACGACGAGCTTCACGGCGCAGATTTTCCGCCAGCACAGGGCGGCGCCAGGGACGTGCCCGGCACATTTTCGAGACGTTCGGAGTTTCGTCCCACAGGCGCCATCTCCGTTAGCACGGGCGACGGGAGGGCCTCCGCCGCCCGCCCGCCGCCGCTGCCGCTCGTCGTCGTCTGCGACCGCCGTCGCTCGGCCTCCTTGCACGGCCCTTCCTCGAACCTTCTCGGAACCGTCCTGGCGTAGGTCTGCGACCACCTCCGCTCGGCCTTCAACGTCGGTGAAGCGGCCAATAGCTGCGAGTGCAGACACTCAGAAACCGCCTTGGGTTGAGAACTTGCCGTCCGCTCCCGTAAAGCCCTTGCTCAGTCGACATGCATCCACGCGACATTCAAGGAAGCTCTGCTTTGTCCCAGGCTCGATCTTCCGGACCGCCGAGTGCCTTGGCATCTCGCGGCTGGTGCTGTGCGGATACACGGCGACGCCCGACGACGCGCAGGCAGCCCGCACATCGATGGGCACGCATCACTGGCGATCAGTCAAGTATTCCTGCCGCAGGTGGCTCGCACCTCGATGGGCACGCACGCGGCTGTCGCGTGGGAGTGGCGCCGCGTCACCAAGATTGGCGCGCCGGCCGTGAAGAGATCGCCCCGCGCACAAGCCGTGGATCGTGGTCAGGCGCCGCCATCTCGGCCATGCCTCGACTATCGATCGGCTGCCTCCCGCACAGCCGTGAACCTGGACAGGCGCCGCCGCGCCGAGACTGCAATCGACGAGCTTCGCGCGGCGGGCGTGCCGGTCGTCGCGGTGGAGACAGTCGCCGGCGCACCGTACGCGCACGAGTTCGCCTTCCCGCCGCCGCCGGCCGGGTGCGCGCTGCTGCTGGGCAACGAGCGGCGCGGGGCTGGCGTCGGACCTGGCCGCCTCTTCCCCGAAGTGTCCCCTGAGCCGTCTCTTCAAGCTCTCCCGCAGGTTGGCGGCCCCTCGCCCGACGCGGCTCCTGACTCCCATAGATTGGCCGGGAGATGGGCCGAGATTACCCGAGATGACCCGGGATTAGGCACGGCCTCGCGCCAGAGCTGCTCGCGCGCTGCGACGCGGTTGTGCGGCTGCCGTGCCGAGGCCCCAAGGGCTCGCTCCACGGGCAACCTCGCGCCAATCTCCTCTCACCTCGGACGATCTCGGGTTGATTAGGCCTCAAGAATTCGCTCAACGTGGCGGTGGCGCTCGGCATGTGCGCGCACGAGGCGGCGCGGCAGTGGGCGGTGGGTGGTAAGGAGGCTGCAGGAGACGCCGTCGGGAAGTGAGCGAGGAGGGGGTCGAACCCCGCGCAATTCCTGGTCGTTTTCTAGGTTTGGAAATTTGAGATGGTCCCGTGCCGAGTTCATTTTATAATAAGGGTGTGGACATGCTGGGTTGACGGAAATCGAGGGACGCGACCCACTTCGCCACAGACGGTCCCGCGCCTCGCCGCTAAGTTTGCGGCACCCCCCGCACCGTCCGCTGTGCCGCGTTTTTTGTCCGGAGTGAAAAGAACAACGCGCTCGTCGGTGGCGGCTTCCCTCAACCTGCGCCGCGCTCGGCGAACCTCGACAGCGCCTTCGGTGGCATGCAGCTCTTTGCGACAGAAGCCTGGAGAGCAGCTCCTCTGCTGCTCACACACTCTGCACAGTTGATACAGCCTACTGTGCGGCTGCCACAGCTGTGACAGCGATGGGCTCGCCTTCACTGGCCCTCAGTCACTTGTGCTGCGGCTTGTGTGAGCGACACTGCTCGGCGGCTGCCGGCACACTGTGAGATCGTAGATGTGCGGTAAAACCACGCTACCAGCGCTTGGTCACATCGGCCCCGAGGTCAGATCCTTCTACTCTGTTGATGACAAGACTTGTCTACCGGCTGGAGCCGAGCAGGAGGGCCCGGCGCACAACCCCTTGGTCAACTCACCCTCCACACCCCGTAGGTTTGATTCATATATCTTTATATGGATCATATGCAGGACACGAGTCACGACACTCGACAGAGGTCAGAGCTTTGGAGGGAAAAACAACCAGCTCCCGAGGGGCGAGGCCGAGGGGCGCCGAGCCGGGACGCGGGAGAGCCGTCGTCTCCGCGCCGCGCTTCCACAATCCACATCCTTGATGTGTCTAGAGAGTAGAGACTAGAAGCGCGGAGTCGGCACACCAACGCGGCCCCGGAGCTGGACGAGACCAACGAGGCGCCGCGCAGCGCGACCAACCGCCCTTGGCTCGACCTCGGGCTGGAGCTCGCCGCTTCCGGGCTGTCCGAGGCGTGCGAGGGCGCGCTGAGCGGCCCTGGCCGCGACGCTCTCACTGCAGCCCGTGCGCTCCGCGCGCGGGGTGGCTTGAGCGAGGGAAATGAGGCCGATCTGAGCTCACAGCGCCGGACCGCGGACTCCGAAGCCACAGAGGCGATACCGAGCACGGCCAAGGGTGGGCGGCGCTGGCTGGACTACGGCACCAAACTGGACTCGCGCGGCCTCACGAGAAAAGGCCTTGACCGGCCCGAGCCGCGACGCGCTCGTCCTGGCCCGCATGCTCGGCCGGTCGGAAGGCGGAGAGGCGGCGCTCTCCAAGCCGGCACGAGCGCCGACGCTGCCTCCTCTCGGGAAGCCCCGCGGTGCGGGGCAGGAGGCGGGCGTTTCACGGCCAGGAGACACCTCCCGTGGCGACTTTTGGGACTCGCCGCGCAGGTGAGCGGCGCTCAGCCCGCGGGAGGAGCTGCGGCCGTCGGTCGCCTCGAGCATCGCCACTTGGCTCAAGCCGTTCAACCCCTTCGGCAAGGGAGACCTGCCGCCGCCTCCAGAGGCGGGATTGCGGGATGCGGCGGGCGCGTTTTGATTGGAACGTTCCAAGGAGAAGAAAAAGAGCGAAAACAAACACTCACTCCAAGTACTCCAAACGCCGAGAACGAGGGCGGGGAGGGAGGTGGCATGAACGCGACCATTACATGCGCCCCGAGCTCACCATCTACCGCACTGAGCACTTGCGCCCCCTCGCTCCCAATCCATCCACCTCGCCTCGGGCCGCGCCGCGCCATCTCGGGCGATCTCGCGCTATCTCGGGCGATCTCGGGGCCGCGCCGCGCTATCTCGGGCGATCTCGGAGCGTCGCTCGCGCGGCGGCACACCTGCTCAAAAATGGAAGGAGGTTGGAGGCAGGAGGTCACGCCCCATCCAGAGCGCCGTCGTCGCCGGGTTTTTGGCCCCCGGGTCGTCGCCCGACGGTTGCTGCGCGGGGCAGCAGACCATCGGACGGCGCGACGACGCCCCGTCCGGCACGCTCCCCCCTCCACCCGGCTATTGCCGCACGAGCGCGGCAACGCCGACGGACTTCCCGCCCCCCCACCTGCGCCGCAATCACCGCCGTGATTGTCGGCGCTGCGCCCCTTGGCGCCTGTGCATGTCCCGCGTGCCCGCCCGCCAAGGCTGGTGCCAAGGCCAAATCAACTGCCAAGGCTGGTGCCAGGGCCAACTCAACTGCCTGGCTGATGCCAAGGCTCAAAGGCTCTCCTCTCTCTCTCGGCTAACCTCGGAATGTAAGCGCACTATGGCTGTGCTGTCTCCTACACAGCCATCTTACCTAAGGATGGCTGAGCTAGCTGCAGTGCAGCCAGAGCCTCCAGGCCGATGGCTGCAATACACACAGGGCAGCCATCCTGAGTAGGGATGGCTGGAAGCTCGCTGCTGCAGCCATACCGCACGCCCCGGGGCGGGCCCTCATGGCTGAGCTGGCTATATCGCAGCCATCTTGGGAAAGGTGGCTGGGCCACAGCCATTTCAGCCATCTACTATGGCTGGGGCACAGTCAGTGCAGCCATCCTCCGGAGCATGGCTGGTGATAATTCGATGGCAGCCGTCCGCCGCCCCCGCCACACGCACAAATGGCTGCGCGCTTGCCGCCCCCGGCCTCGCGGGACGGCTGCCATTGGCTGCCATCGAATTATCACCAGCCATGGCTCTGGAGGATGGCTGCAAGCTCTGTGCCACAGCCATAGTAGATGGCTGAAATGGCTGAAATGGCTGTCCCCCAGCCATCTTACCCAAGATGGCTGCGATGGCTCACCTCGAGGCGGGCGGTAACCGGTTATGGCTGCGGTAGTGCGTCTCCAGCCATGTCTACTAAGGATGGCTGCCGTGTGTGTGTTGCAGCCATCGGGCTGAAGGATGTGGCTGCACTGTAGCTAGCTCAGCCATCCTTAGGTAAGATGGCTGTGTAGGAGACAGCACAGCCATAGTGCGCTTACATTCCGAGGTTAGCCCTCTCTCTCTCCTCCCTCTCCACTCTCTCAACTCTCTCCCTCTCTCTCCCCTGAGACTCTCTCTGCTCGCTCCGCCCTCTCTCTCCCTCCCTCCCTCCCTCCCTCTCGCGCCTCCCCCCTCTTCTCTCCTCTCCCCCCCCCTCCTCTCTCCTCTCTCCTCCTCTCTCCTCTCCTCTCCTCTCCTCTTCTCATCTCCTCCCCTCTCCTCCTCTCCTCTCTCCCCCCCTCTCTCCCTCAGCAGCTTCCTCGAGGCCGAACAGGTAGATCCTCCCTGATCGCTAAGCTACCACAGGGGACGGCCAGGTAGTAGACGTCGTCCGCCGCCGCCTCCGCCACCCGCGTGCCTCCGCCCCGCTTAGCATTATATCAGGAGGTGCCAACACCAGCAGCATCTCAAGGAAGCAAGCGCCGCGCCTTTTGCCGCCGCGCGCCGCCGCCGCGCCGACTGGCTCCGGTTCGAATCGTCCTTCGCGGAGCGAACGCGGCGACACGAGCGCACGTCGCGCCGACACGCCGCGCCGCGAGCTCGTAACCAAAAAAATTTTTTCCATGGTGAGCCGGTGTGTGTGAGTCCGCGCTTGTCGTGCCAGTGGGCTGTGAGAGAGGCTTAAAATTGGGGCAAAGGGCTTAGAATTCTTTTCTAGCACGCGCCAGTTCGCACCTGTGTCGAGCCTGTGTGCTGTGAGAGAGAGTTGTCTTGAAATTCTTTTCTCCAACGGCTTGGCCGCGCTCTGGGGTCGCTCGGCGCTCGCCTGTTCGCCGCTGGTGCTCCCGCCGCCACCCGAGGATTCGGTTGAGAGATGGCCGGGGCGCCGCAGCACCTCGTCGGCTTGGAGCACCAGCTGCAAGTCTCGCGCGAGAGCGCGCTTCTAGGCAACTACGAGGCGTCGCTCGTACACTTTGACGGCGCCATCTCGCAGGTGCAGCGCTACCTGCGGACGCTCGACGACCCGGCGCTGCGTGCAAAGTGGCTGCGGGCGAAGGAGGACCTCTCGGGCGAGTTCCAGATTGTCAAGGAGATCGTGGCCGAGCTCTCAAAGCTCCGCGCCGGCAGCAAGGCGGTCCCGCCTCCGACGGCCGCGGCGCCGCCGCCGTCGCAGCTGTTGCTCCGGCCGGACCCCGTCGCGGTCGTCGGCGGCCCGAGCGGCGCGGCGCAGCAGCGTGACCCGGACGTGTGGTCGCCGCCAAAGCCTCCTCCGGAGCGGTGCCCTCCTCCGCCGCGCCGCGCCGCGCCGCCCGACTGGGCGAGGCGCGATCCGCAGCAGGCGGCGGCGGCGGCGGCGGCGGCGGCGGCGGCGCCACAGCACGGGCCCGGCGCAGCGCGTGGCGCTCGGGCGGCGGCGGCGGGCTACGGCGCGGCGGCCGCCGCCGATGCTCCGCCAGCGGGAGGCCGGCGGCGCGGCGAGCGCAAGCCTCCCGTGCCTCCGCGTCCAAAGGCGGAGAGAGGCGGGGGGAGAGGGGCGCGGCGGTTTGTGGATGAGGTTTGTGCGGCGGACGCGGAGCTGGCGAGCATGATCGAGCGCGACATCCTCGAGCGGAGGCCGTCGGTGCACTGGGGCGACATCGCGGCCTCGAGGAGGCGAGGCGCTGACGAGCCGTGTGCGTGACTGCTGGTGAGTTGGTTAGGCGACATCGCCGGCCTCGAGGAGGCGAAGAGCGTGCAAGTCACTAGGCTTGAGTGGTGAGGCCGCTCTCGGTGGACCGGCCGACGAGTTGGCTAGGCGAAGCGCGTGCTCGAGGAGGCGGTGGTGCTGCCTCAGCTGATGCCGGACTACTTCCAGGGCATACGGAGGCCGTGGAAGGGCCTTCTCCATCGCCCGCCCTCCCCGACGCCTCGGCCGTGAACGGCGTCTCCTCACGGCTGTGGGTGTGAACAGGCGTGCTCATGTTTGGCCCTCCCGGCACCGGCAAGACGCTGCTCGCTAAGGCGCTCGCGGCCAATTGCACCAATAAGGAGTTAGTTGATAGCCAAGTGAGGGACCGGCAAGACGCTGCTCGCTAAGGCGCTGGCGAAGCCGAGCGCGGCACCGCTGCCCTCCCCCCCCGTCGGCCAATGAGCTGGCGAGCTCCTCCAGGCGCTGGCGACCGAGTGCGGCACCACCTTCTTCTCGGTCACCTCCTCCACACTCGGCTCCAAGTACCGCGGCGACGCGGAGCGGATGGTGCGGCTCCTCTTCGAGATGGCGAGATCGAGCCGAGATGGAGCCGAGATCGAGCCGAGGTAACGAAGAGGTGGAGGAGGGACCGGAGCCTTTCTACTCGCTTCCTCGCCTGTCTTCCCCTCGCCTCACGGCGGCTTGCCCCTCCGCCCAGGCGCGCTTCTACGCACCGTCCACCATCTTCATCGACGAGGTCGACTCGCTCGCCTCGCAGCGGGGCTCAACGGGCGAGCACGGCGGAGCGCCGCCAGGGCGCGTCCGGGGCACGTCCACGACGTGTCCGAGACATGTCCGCCAGGCGAGCACGAGGCGTCGCGCCGCGTCAAGTCGGAGCTGCTCGTGCAGGCGCTGGGCTCGGCAGACCTCGGCACATCTCGGCACACCTCGGCACACCTCGGCACATCTCGGCACACCTCGGCACACCTCGGCACACCTCGGCACACCTCGGCACATCTCGGCAGACCTCGGCACATCTCGGCACATCTCGGCACATCTCGGCACACCTCGGCACACCTCGGCAGATCACGCGGATGATTCAGATCACCGGAGTCTGATGCTGGCAAAACACACGAGCGCTGCTCCTCAAGACAGCCATTCGCCCTCTGCGCGTCCAGATGGACGGCGTGGGCGGCGGCGGCGCCGAGGACGGCGAGTGCAAGAATGTGATGGTGCTCGCTGCGGCACCCTTCTCGGAACTTGCTCGGAAGCTTCTCGGAACTTGCGTGGAACCTCTCAGGTGCTCGCCGCCTCCAACTTCCCGTGGGACCTCGACGAGGCGCGTATCTCGGCTGTACCTCGGCTGTACCTCGGCTGTATCTCGGCTGTACCTCGGCTGTACCTCGGCTGTACCTCGGCTGTATCTCGGCTGTATCTCGGCTGTACCTCGGCTGTACCTCGGCTGTATCTCGGCTGTATCTCGGCTGTATCTCGGCTGTACCTCGGCTGTACCTCGGCTGTACTTCGGCTGTATCTCGGCTGTACTTCGGCTGTAATTCGGTTGTATCTCGGCTGTATCTCGGCTGTATCTCGGCTGTATCTCGGCGCGGGACCTCGACGAGGCGCTGCGGCGGCGGCTCGAGAAGCGCATCTACATCCCGCTCCCCGAGCCAGCCGACATCCGCACGCTCCTCGGCGCGTCGCTGTGAGGGCAACGCAGTCAGGCAGGTGCAGGCTCGACGCGGCACCGCCGCTCCGCGTCTTGACTGGGTAGGCATCAACCTCAAGGACGTGCAGCTCGACGCCTCAGTTTGCCTCGACGCGCTGGCCGAGCGACTCGCCGGCTTCTCGCCCGCCGACGTGAGCCGGCTGCATCTCGGCTGCATCTCGGCTACATCTCGGCTGCATCTCGGCTCCATCTCGCCCCGCCGACGGCCTCTGCCGCGAGCGCGCGTTGGCGCGAGTGCCTCGCCCGTGCCCCACCCCCTGCTCGCTCGACAGGTGACGAACCTCTGCCGCGAGGCGGCGATGATGCCGATGCGGCGCGCCATCAAGGGGCTGCGGCACGACGAGATCCGCAGGCTCAAGCGCGAGGACACAGACACGCCGCTCTGCCAGGACGACATCGAGCAGTCGCTGCTGCGCATCAACAAGACGGTGAGCGAGAGCGACCTCGGCCGCTTCGAGGAGTGGCTCAAGGAGTTTGGCTCGACCTGAGTGTGGGGGCTGATCAGCTTATTTATTATATTGTTGTGTTCTCAAATAGGATTAAAAATAATTTAATTAAATTATTTCAAATACCCTCTCACAGCACAAACTGGCACGACAAGGGCGCATCAGTGCGGCTCTCAGAGCCCCCCGCCCCGCCCCGCACATACGGCTTTTAATTAATTGCTTGGAAGTAGAGGGAGCGGACCGTGAGTTGAGGAAATCGAGGGACGCGACCCACTTCGCCACAGACGGTCCCGCGCCTCGCCGCTATGACGGCCACACGGCCGCAGCTCGTGTGCGTGTGGCCGTCTTTGTCCGGAGTGAATACTCCAACGCGCTCGTCGGTGACGGTGTCCCCCGATTTCGCCGCGCTCGGCGAACCTCGACAGCGCTTTCGGTGGCATGCATTTCTTTGCGACAGAAGACGCGTTGCGAGAGTGGGCGGTGGCCGCCAGCTTGGGAGCTGAGCATTCGGTCTTTGTGAGCCACTCCTGGCACGACAGCCGCGAGGGCAAGTGGGCGGCGCTTCAGCGGTGGGCGGAGCGCGCAGCGTGCACCTCGATCCTGTACCGTGTTTGTTATGACCCCCCCCAATGAACACACCAGTGAGGGAGGGCGAGACGATCGAGGGGTCCCGTACCACGCGGAATCGACCCTAGTGCTCAAGTGCTCAAGAAAAAAGGCATTTTTTTTACAGTGTTACCGGAAAAAGAAAAAAAGAACGGCGCCGCAGGCGCCGGCCGGAGGCCGGGAAGGGATGGGGAGGGAAAAGGAAGGTTAGAAGAGGAAAGAGGAAGCTACACATGTCTCTACTTGCGTGCCTTCCGCTTGCCGAGCGCCTTGTCGGAGGATGCACCTGGCGAGCTGCGCGTCGAGCGCGAGCCAGGCGACGCCGGCGAAGCTGCACGTTCCGCGGCGCCAACTTTGACTCGCGCCGCCTCGACGAGGCGGGCCACCGTTTCGATGAAAGCGTCGGCGCCGGCGGCGTAGCTCTCGAAGAGCTCGCCGCGCTCGTTCTCGTCGAAGTCGTACATCAGCGAGGTCATCTCTTCGAGCGGCACCCAGCGCGTCGCCGTGTAGCGCTCGCGTTCTTCATTGCCCATCGACTCGAAGACGCCGCGCACGAGGAAGCACGGCTCCAACTCCGCGTCGTCGATCGGTCCCTCGCGCTGCGCCATGGTCATGTCGACAGGGTTGTGCAGCCGCATGCCGAGGACCGCGTGAGCCTCGTGGATGAGCAGGCCGGCCAGGTCCAGGTCCTTCGCGCGTTGACGTCGAGCGCTCAGCGTCTTCTTGGAGTAGATGTCGATCCTCGGCTCGATGTCGTTGTCCAGGTCCATGACGCTCGCGTCCCACGACCACTGGACGAAGCCGAGCGTGGCAGCTGTGACGCGCTCGCTCGCGCTGAGCTGCTCCCAGCAGCGCTGGCACGCCGGCACGTCGTCGCTGACAGCGTATGCAGCGTCGGCCGCGTTGGCTGCTGCCGCCGAGCTCGAGCCAGCGGCACTGGAGCTGTTTTCGGCCGGCGCCTTGCTGCCAAACACGCTGGGCATGTGACGCGCGAAGAAGCCCGGGCTCATGGCGGTCCCAGCGTCAGTTGCCATCGGTGCCGGCGCCGGCGCAGGAGCAGCCGCAGTCGTCGTCGCCGCCTTCTTTGCAGCGCGTGCCTCTCTCGCCTCCCTGGCGCGCTTCTCCAAGAAGTCGGGGTTCTCTCGCTTCTGCTTGTCGTACCACGACTCGTCGGACGTCGCGGCGGCCTTGCCCTTGCCCGACTTGGGCATCTTGGCCGACATCACGCGCGCAAGACGGCGCAGCACGCCGCCAACTTGCGTCAACACGCGTCAACACGCTCGAGAGGTCAGATCCTTCTACTCGTTGATGGCAACACTTGTCTACGCGCTGGACCGGCGCACACATGCACATGTGCATGTGCGTCGCGAGTTTTGAATTTAATTCGTATTCCGACTCGAACGATAAGAAAGCTCAGAAGTCTGCACGTCGCACTTACCCACTTGACAACACCGTACTACTCTCTGATGATACACAACAACTGGAGGGGGAGACACATGCGGGGAGATGCAACGTTGTGGTATGTGGTTCGTGCTGTGGTCCGATCGCCGGAGCGGGCCTCTCGCCTCAACTCTCCGGCCTGGGCCATCGCCCTCAAGCCTCGTTGGCGTGGAGCCTCGGCTTCTCGGCTCGGCAGAGCGGGCACGCCCGGATCCCAAAGTCGAGCGCCTTGTACGTGCACCGCGCGCAAAAGTGGTGCTCGCAGCCGGCGGGTACCTGACGGTGGCACTCTTCCACGTCTCGCTCACGCTGAGAAAAATTCTGAAACGCCGTGCAGCAGAGTCGCCGACGAGTCGGTCCGCGTGCTTCCTCGTGTCCCGTACCGTTCTCACACACATCCATAAACTCACTTTGGCCTCACTGAAGCGATGCCTCAATCCTGAATCCTCAGATTTTAGATTTTAGGACGCTGTCTACCCTCTACTAGTCCTAGAGCCTCTAGCTCTACCGTCGCGCACATTTTCGATTTTGGCGCCAAGCTGCAAGCCCCACAGATACCGTTCGAAAACGAAAGACATAGCAGACACACACACACACACACACACACACACACACACACACACACACACACACACACACACACACACACACACACACACACACACACACACACACACACACACACACACACACACACACAGTGACACACACACGCAGTGACACACACACACACACGCAGTGACACACACACACACGTGTCACAACTGCGCGCCGGACACCCACCGAGAGGCGAGAGTCCTAATTGTCCGCCGCGAGAGGGGGAGGGAGGGGAGGGGGAGGTCCATCGAGATCAGGGAGGGGGGGGGGGCACGAGCGAGAGGGAGGAGAGCGAGAGCACGGCAGGGTGGGAGAACCGGCATATCCGCGCGTCGGCAGTGGCGCGACTGCTGGCCCGGCGGCCTGCGCGTCTCCAGCTCGCCTCCTGCCCGCCCTCGCGCCCGCGAGAGAGTCCTCACTGCGCCGCCTCCACCTGCTGTCCGCCCTGCGCGCGGCTCGCCCACCGCGCCGTGCAGCTCTCGACGGCGTTGAAGGCGGCCACGGCGCCTACGTGTCCCATAGTGTGAGTTCGGCCCCGTGGGTGGTGTGGCAGCAGCTGTGCGGCGTACAACCCTGCGTGCTGAGTACGCCAACCTTGGGACGCGGGTACGGAATTGTGCAGTGTCTTCAGAGCACCGCGTGAATACGAGGGGCTGCGAGTACAGTGAGTACAGCGCAACACAGAGGAAGACCGGGGAATGCGTGTCAAGAGCACATGCACATGTGCATGCACATGTCCATGTGCATGTGCATGCTCAGCATCTAGGCCACGCCGCCCTCCCCGTCCGCAGACCCCTTGTACGAGTGGAAGAGGTCCGCCTCGGCGGAGCAGACCTACAGGAAGGTTCCAGGAAAGGTCCAGGAGGTCCGCCTAAGCGAAGCAGACCTACGGCAAACAAACAGCCGAGATGCTGCCGAGAGACCGCCGCCTCACTCCTCCCTCCTCTCTCCCCTTCTCCTCCCCTCTCCCTCGCCCGCTCTCCTCCCCACGTTCTCCTTCCCCGCTCCTCTCTTCTCCAGACCTGCTGCGCGATGCACATCGTCAGCCCCATCCGCGCCTGCATGCAGCCGGCGTCGTCCGACCCCTTCTGCATGCACGCCGACAGCGCCTCCATCGCCGACGCGCAAGCGGAGCGCACCGCCGCCGCCTCGGAGACTGCAGGCGGCGGCGGCGCCGCCTCCGCCGCCGCCCCGCCAGCCGCTGGCGCGGAGACGGTGGAGTCGCTCGTGGCGATCGGCGTGAGCGCCTCGCGCAGCGTCGCGACGACGCCCTTCTGCAAGACCATCCTCGCGCGGTCGAGCAGCTCGCCCGGCGTGTCGCCCGCAGGCCGCACCTACCGCACCACCCACAGGACTGAACCCACGCTGGATTCGGTACTCTGGGGGGTATGGGACAAGCCGCACGTCCATCAGGATGGTCGGCACACCGTCTGGGTCGTGCAGCGAGGGCAGCGGCCCCCCCGCCTCCCTCGAGGCGGACGCGTCGTAGTAGTCGATGATGTACCGCACCTCCGGGTTAGGGCTGGGGTCAGGGTCAGGGTTAGGGTCAGGGTCAGGGTCAGGGTTAAACGTTAGTACCGCGCCTCGGGTTGGGGTCAGGGTCAGGGTCAGAGGTTAGGGCCAGGGTCGGGGTTAGGGGTGAGGAGCAGTCGATGATGTACCGCGCCTCGGTCCCGCACCGGTCGACGGTCCAGTCGTGACGGTCGAAGGGGCGCGGCGCGAGACCTAGTCCCATACCCCCAGAGTACCGAATCCAGTGTGGGTTCAGTCCCATGGGTGGTGCGGTAGTACCCAGCGCCGTCTTGAGTCGCGCCTTTGGCGACAGTTCAAACGGGCGGCCCTGGAAGCGCAGCAGCGACACCTTGGCCGGGTCGCACGTGTCGCAGTGCAGCCGCTCGTACTCGAGCACCTGCAGCTCGCGTGGGGAGATGTGGGGAGATGTGGGGAGATGTGGGGAGATGTGGGGAGATGTGGGGAGATGTGGGGAGATGTGGGGAGATGTGGGGAGATGTGGGGAGATGTGGGGAGGTGTGGGGAGATGTGGGGAGATGTGGGGAGATGTGGGGAGATCGTGTCGGAGGACGCCGTCGTCGCGTAGGCTCCCCCGCGCTGCTAAGTGCCTCCCCTTGTCTGCAGCCAGGCGTCCGTGCTCGTGCCCCGTGCGTGCCCCGCCCCTCGCGTGGCGATGTGTGTCTTCGCTCTTCCTATCGAGCGGCGCCTCGGCCCAGCCCTTCTCGTTCATGTTGTTGTGGATGGCGATCACCGAGGGCATGGCGGCCGTGTCGACGCCGTCGTCCTTGCCCTTGCGCACGAGCGCGTTGTAAAACTGCTGCTCCGACGGGTACACCCACCGCTCGGTCGCCCCCGCGCGCCCCTGCGGAATGCTCGACACCACGCGGCTCGTGTCGAGCACCGCGTCCTGCCCAGCCGCGGGCTGCTGCGAGAGGACGGGCATGCGGTTGTCCGGGTTGATGTCCGCCTCGCCGTCGCCGCCCGCCGCCGCCGCCGACCGGCCGGCCCACGCGCTCCACTTGCTGTGGTCGACTGGGCAGCCCGATGCCTTTGGCGGCTCCGCGGCGGCGGCTCTGCCGGACGGAGCGGCGCCGCCGTCGGCCCTCATTGGACAGGCGGAGGGAGGAGCCGCGGCGGCGCCCGCATCGGGCTTTGACTGCGACTGGGAGGGAGGAGCCCATCGGGCGCGGGACCACTGCGAAGGCTGCAAAATTTCTGGCAAATTTCGCGCGCGCGGATTTTTCTTCTTTGCTACCGTCCAGTCATAAGTGTGTGTGAAGTGTGAAACCGCCAATCGGCGGGCGGCTTGCTGCTCGCTGCATGGCGAAAAACTCGTCTCGCCACACGCCAAGGGCTTATGCTCTGGCGAGACGTGAGGCGCATGCGCCCAGGATGGGAGGGGGCATGCCCATGCGTAACGACACTGCTAGAGATGCCTTTCGGGGCCCAGAGATAAAACTTCTGATGCCATGCGTGACCTAGTAGTGTCCCCAGCTATGGGCGTGTCCACGTTGGAGCCAGGTGTGGTGTGGGCGCGAGAATAGCTCCGCCGTTCATGGAGGCAACCGATGCGAGAGTACCCCCTGATTTGGTACTGCACGTTCGCGTTCGTCCAGCCCGGAGCGCGCTTATAGTTCTTGTTGGGCCGCTCCGTCTCCTGCTTGTCCTTCCACGTCTCGCCCTGAAAGTCGAGAATCCGCTTCCGCGTCACATGCTGCGGCAGGTACGTGTTGATGCACCCCCACGCGTCGGCCATCTCGTACATGGCGGCCTACCGACGGGAACTGGGGATCAGGACGGGCCCAGATGGGGAAGGGGAGGGGGGGAGGCTCACACCCGCAGCTCCTTGTCGTAGCCCATCTCGACGAGGGCGACGCCGGTCAGCATGACGGTCACGCTCACTTGGATCTGAAGGAGGCGCAACGCGGGGTCAGGAAGGTGAGAGAGGGCGGCCGTGTAGCGGGAGCGCACCTCCTCGACGATCGTCTCGCCGAACTTGGAGTCGTTGACCTTCTTGGACGCCTTGCTGCCCGGCGACTGCTTGCCGCCCGGCGTCTCCGCCATTTCGCCCTGTGTGGACAGAGGTGCGTGGGGCGATTCAGGAGTGCCTGGGACGGCGGTGCAGTATGGGGGCTGCAGGCCATGAGCGGAGAGCGGTTCTGACTGGTGTCGGCTTGCGACGGAGAAGGGTTGCTGAAGGGTTGACGGTCAGCGTTCAGCCGCGGGGATGTGTCGCACGGTTGAAGTTCGACCAATCACGGGTCACCACGTTTGATTGCGGGAGCACGAGGGCTCCCACTCGCGCCCGGCGGCGCGCGGAGGAGGCCGAGAGTACAGGCCAAGTACAAACATCCGCACACACACCATGAAGCGTGCGTCGGCGGCGGCGCCTGGGCGGACGCGATAGTCAGGCGACCGGGCCATCCCAATTGTGCAAAAGTACTTGGAGCACAGTGGGTTGCGGGCATTAAGAAAACGTAGCCCTATCTAAGAAACCACGGCGCGCCGCAGGCGCGGCCACGAGAAAAGGCCAGACACGAGTGTGAAAACGGGAGCCTCAGCCCAAAATTTCTCTTCGCCTGCGGCGCGCGCACTTGTCACTATCCAAGTCTGCACGGTGTTATGAGTGGAGTGCAAGTGGATGGAGGCGTGTGTGCGTCTCCCGTCATCCAGAGAGCCGACTCGGCGGCAGACTCTGGCATCGCCCTCGCGGACCGCAGCTTTAATACCTCTTCTTACCTACCTAAAAATCCTTCGGGCCGGCGCTCTGGCTTGATTGAGTGCCCCGGCCGGAGCTAAGAAACCACGGCGTGGGGTGTATCGTGCTTGAGCATGGTCTCGAGCGTACTGAAGTCGGCTTCCCCGAGTTCGTTGAGCAGGCGCTCCAGCACAATGCTGAGCTGCGTCGGTGCCATGTGTCGACGTGTCCAAGGGAACGGACGTCGCCGAAGGCCTTAGTTCACGCCGAAAAGTACGTCTAACGCCTCCTGGTCCTGCTAGCTGGGGCACGCTCCCACGCGGCTGGGGGCCGCTCTCCAGCTCGATTAGGGCGCTTTTCACGCGATCTTACGGAATTACTGCATGAGTGGGCATCGATTGCATTTGCGATTTGGCTTTGAGACTCGGTGAGTTGAGACGTCGTCGGCTTGGTTTTTTGTTGATGCCCACAGAGGAGAGAGAGAGAGGAGAGAGAGAGAGAGAAGAGAGCGAGCGAGCGAGCGAGCGAGCGAGAGAGAGAGAGAGAGAGAGAGAGAGAGAGAGAGAGAGAGAGAGAGAGAGAGAGAGAGAGAGAGAGAGAGAGAGAGAAGAGCAAAAAAAAAGAAAACGCTAATTTCAATATTCGAGAAGTCTTCTCAATATTTCCAGATCGGGAGCTCGGACCCACTTGACGAGCCCCACACATCGTGGTCGCTCTGCCACTCGTATTGGAGGTACGCGACTTCGCCGCGGCGCCCACGGGCCATCGCTCGGCGCCTGAGCCCCTCCGCCCCGCCCGACAGACGCCTCGCCCCGTGCTCCTCCAGCGGCAAGCCGCTGAATGCCGGCCCACGTCCAGCCGCCGCCGGCGTCGCCGGCCGACAGCTCGCTCGCTGCCAGGGTGGAGGGGTGGGTGCAGTACTGTGAGTACTTTCACCTGCTGGACGCAGACATGCAGGCGCGCGAGTTCCCCTCCCCCCTTCCCGCCTCCCCCGTCTCGCAAAAAGAAAGAAAACTCAAGCGCGCATAAAGAAAGAACGCAGGCGGGGCCCCAGCAGTCTGTACATGTTTCTATGTCGCGCTCGCCTCGCGCCGCACGCGTCGAGGACGACGCCCCGCCCACGGACTGGCTGGGCGAGCTGCCGCCGGAGCTGCACCTCCGCATCCTCGAGGGCGTCGACGACTTCTCCGACTGCGCCGCCTTCAGCCTCGCGTCGCCGCGCCTCGGCCTCCTCGCGCTTCGCAGCGGCCTGGCGCGCTTCGAGGACCCGCTCTTCGCCGTGGCGATGCGGCTGCTGCTCATCCAACGCTTTGCCGGTGGCTTCGGTGTGGTGACGCTAAGCGAGGACACCCTCCGCAGATACGCCGCCGACCGCCGTGCTAGCGCCGAACACTTCCCGTGGCTTGCGAGGGTGAGCCCGGCGCTCCGCCTCACGTCGGAAGTGGAGCACGCTGGAGAGCGTCGCCGCGAGGTCTGGAGGCTGCGGCGCGGCGAGAATGGCACGATGCTGCGGGCGCGCTTCTTGCAGAGCGGCCAGGTGAAGCATTTCGAGGGCGAGCGAGGTGCAGAGCGGAAAGTGCGCAAGGTATTTGCCAGCGGCACTGTGCATTGCTACGAGGGCGGGCAAGATGCGGAGCGGAAGGTGCGCGCGGTGCGTGTCGACGGTGCCGTTGCGTACTTCGAGGGCCAGCAAGGTGCAGAGCGGCATGTGCGCACGGTCTACAGCGACGGCAACGTGCATTACTTCGAGGGCGAGCGAGGTGCGGAGCGGAAGGTGCGCGTGGAGTTTCCCAGCGGCAATGTGAAGTACTACGAGGGCGAGCGAGGTGCGGAGCGGAAGGTGCGCACGGTGCGTGCCGACGGCCAGGCGCAATACTACGAGGGCGAGAGTGGTGCGGAACGGTTGGTCCGCGTGGTGTGTGCCGACGGCGAGGTTTGGTTCTACGAGGGCGAGCGAGGCGCGGAGCGGGTGTTGCGCAACGAGATTTCCAACGGTCAGTTGCAGCACTACGAGGGCGAGTGAGGCACGGAGTAGAAGGAGGAACGGAACTCTCTGCGTCTGGTCGCGTGGCCGTGGAGGCACCGTGGTTCGTATGTGTTGAGTTTTTCATCTGGGACGCCTAGTATCATTAAGAATCTAGTATCATTAAGAAACAAAATCATTTAGAGGGAAATCCCGCGGTCATGTAAAAACAGTTTGTGTACAAAATCCTGCATTTTGGCGGGGGGGGACGCCCTCTCTCGTCGGGCCCTCCGCGCTCCGCGCCGGAAAATTGCCGACGGACCGCCCACCAATGTTGTGCGAGACCCTCCGCCCGCACTGTACCACCATCCTCTCTGTCTGTCCACAGCGCGACACACTCCCCCGCGCACCCCGCGCGCGCTCAGAGCGCGGCCGCCTGGAAGCGGTCAGTGTTCAAACTTTACCGGTATGAGACCGGTATTTGGCGGCAGGTTCGCGACGGGCGAGGCGCCCCGCCCGACGACCCCCGCCTCCGAGGCGGACGAGGGCGACGGCGTCGGCGGCGATGGCGGGACCGGCATCGAGCACTTTGACCTTTTCGAGCCGGACCCCACCCCCATGGAGGATCTCTGAGGTCCTCCCCAGTCTCACCCCACCTTACCTCTGCCCCCCCCTCCCCCCATCCCTCTGCCTCCCATAGGGCAGGATAGCACTAGCATATGCGCCTAGTGCGCACTGGGCCCACATAGATGTGACCCGCCCACTCGAGTGCGGCGCCCAGATGCTAGTGCTTGAGAGGACATCACAAACGCGGCACGGCCCGTTTTGGATGTCTGCGGAGATTCTGTCTTAGCACACACAGTGAGTCATTCGGAGTCATTCGATGGCCAGAGTGCGATTGTGTGTGTGCGGGAGTTGGTTTGTCGGGAGGGAGGGGCAGGCTGCTCACCCACGTGCACCGGGCCAGTGCTTGCACTTTGAATGCCGTGGGGCTCCTGCCCGTGTCCGGGTGTGGAGATGCGAGGGTCGCCCCCCCTTGCCCCACCACTTTGTGTGTGTGGAGAAATTTACCTTACCTTACCTTACCTTAGACCGGTATTTGGTGATATTTTGATTAGTTTTGGAGTGGTATGGTATAGTGGTATGCAAAAGTGGTATGCGGGGTTTTCATTAGTTGTAGCGGCTGTCGGTGTGGTCCCGGGGGCAAAATCATGCAAAAGTGCGGGTATTACCCGGGTATACCCGGGTTTTTCCAGGTATACCCGCAAAATACCGGGTATTTTGCCGATTTTGCCGATTTTGCCACCAAGAAGGCACTCCGACTCGCTTTGATTTCCGTGAGGCAACTGGTATCCCGTACCACTTTTTGATTAGTGCAGGCCTTGGGTTTGATTAGCCAAAAACTCCCATACCGGTAAAGTTTGAACACTGGAAGCGGTCGGGGGGGCCGCGAGCCCGCTTGGTCGCGCCACGCCCGTCGGCCGCCGGCGACGAAGGGGCGGAGGATCCCGAGGGTCCGGGAGCGCCTCGCTTTGGCGGCGGCAGCGGCCTGGTGCGCTTTCAGCACTCCGAGCAGCATCTTGTAGCCGTAATTCGCGCCGTGGCGCGTTACCTCGAAGTTCACGATGTCGTTGAAGCGTGGGTGAAGCGGAAGCAGCCGATCGCGGCCCGAGAGGCCAGCCGCAGCCACGACTTGCTGCACGCGCCGCCGCGTGAGGCCAGTGAGCGCAGCCACACGCGCCGTGTCGCGCGAATGCGCAAAGAGGTCGAGGATGTTGGCGCGGCTCGAGCCGTGGTCAAGGGTGGGTGCAGCGGTGCACGCGGCAGCAAGGAGCAGCGCGCCGTGCATGACGAGAGTGGCCGATCGCCGAAGTCTGTGGCTTCTATTGGGTTTTGCTTTCTCACTTCGAGCTTTTGGTTTCGCAGTTCTCTGTTTAGCCTTCTAATTTCGCATTTTACATTTTACGCATGGCACTTCTGACTTTTGGAGATTGAGTTTTGCATTCTCACTTCGAGCTTTTGGTTTCGCAATTCTCTGTTTAGCCTTCTACTTTCGCATTTTACGTATGCCACTTCTGACTTCAACTTGTGTGTTTGCACTTCTGCACAACGGCCTTCCGAGTTCCGCGCAGCTTTGCTGTTGGCAGTTCCACGTTCCTCACACGGTTTGTGGTTTGCACTTAGGACATGACGGAAGCGACTTCTGACTTGTTGCTGTTGACTTCGGAGTTGCAAACTAGCGTTTGTGGTTTCCACTTTGCACTTCGCTGTGCTGACTTCTGCCTTCCCCCTTCCGCATTCACTGTTCCCACTTCACTTCGTCCCTCATGGAATGGGTACCCTCCCCGAATAAACAGCGAAGGAGACGCCTGGGCAAGAGAGGAGCAAGGCCACCTTTGGGTG